TGTTCAACGGTCGAAATATTTGAATTTTACACTTAGGGAACCGATTCCCCATGAGGGGTACCGATTCCCCCCACGCTCCAAGTAGAAATATTAATTGTTTTCACACTTAAACGGCTCCAATAACTTCATTAATGATCCCCAACGTTCAGAAGTGATTCAAGGTGTATTTAAACAAGCTTAGAAGCCATTGATCAACAACAAGAAGCATCAAGCAACTAGAATCAAGAGAGAATCAAAGAGAAAGCATCAAACCTCAAGTTTGAGTATTTCAAGCCTATTTTTCATTCAATATTCATTTTGCTTTCAAGAACACTTATTGTGCTCAATTGTATTCATTCTTGAGTGTTCTTTTCTCTGTTCTAGAATTGTGCAAACAATCTACATTGTGAGGATTTTCTTGTAAGTTTGTAAATTTGTAATCTTCTCTTTGGGAAAGAGTGTTCTCAAGAATTGGGGTATATTCTTGAGGGTGTTGTACGGTTATCTCTTTGGCCTCAAAAGAAAGAACAAATTAGTGAATTTGTTAGAAAATCCTTAGTGTGGATAGCTAAGGTAGTGGACGTAGACTTTGATTGAGAAAGTCGAACCACTCTAAATCGATGTGCAATTACTTTCAATTTTCTGCAAAAGCTTCCACAAAATTTTTAATTGTCAATTCATCCCCCTCTTGGCCGATTCCGTCAATCGATTAACTCAACAAATAAGACTTACGATAAGTCTATTTCCAATAGTAAAATGCATGAATTCATATATAGAAGTATGTGTTATGATTTATATGTATGCATGAGGATATGTGTTGACATGATATTAGTATGTTACATGATTTGTATAAGTATATGTTAGTGTGATAAGTCATGTGAAACAATATAAATGATCTATATGATTATATAAGAATATGAAATAAGCTATGTGATAAAGACATAAGGAATGAAATGAACAAGTGATATAGGCTATAAGCTAATGAATTATTCGATATAAATATATGTGAACATGAGATAATAAAGTATAAGTTATATATATAAGGGATTCTACAAGAAAGGTATAAGACTTTATAGAATAGCATGTAAATTAGGGTGCATAAAAATAAATGATGATACCCAATTAAGATAAGTGTTTATAGGGAAGAAGTATACTTCAAGGAAACTATGATATAGGAGTCATGTGAAATTGAACTAAATAAATAAATTAACTTAGTATAAATAATATTAGATAAGTCATGTGACAAGATATATGTAGTACATGAAAATGTAATATAAGTAATTAAGTAATAATATGAGAGTATCATAAAAGTGAGTTTGTGAGGAATGATATGAGCGAAGTAAGCTAAATAATATTGACCTATAGGAGGAAATGAGAATAGTATATTAACTAGAAGGCTTGAACATAAGTGATAATATGAACGCATAAGATGAGCTAGATGAGAAAGATACATATGCTTAAATAAAATTATGACACATGGGTTGTATGATAGATATCTATGGAGCCATATGAGATGATTATAGGAATTATATGAACTTGAATTAAATAGATTAATTTGTATATAAAAGAAGCAATAGAAGTGAAATATATGTATATATATATATAAGTAAGAATAGGTTGCATGATCTAGATAAGTATAAGAGAATGAAGCAAGCTATATGATATGTTATAAGTTATATACATATATGAAAATATTATTAAACAATTGGACTAGTAATATGAAATGGCTTGGAAAGTTAATATAAGTTATGTGGAAATGATCTATGTGTTTATATGTGATATGCGATATTTATGTAATCATGAGTTATATGAAAATAAGTGATGTGAATGATATGATAAGAAGATACGGGTTTATGTGATAAGAAGATATGGGTTTATGTGATGTATGAGAAACATATGTGAACAAATGATGGCAATGATATATATATATTTCATATGAACACAAGAGAAGTGTTTATGAGATAAGTGATATATGGTTATGAAATCATATGAAAATGAAATGTACATGCGAATATGTGAAATGATATGAAAGAGAATGCCCATGTAAGTGTCAGGAGAGCTAGAGGTATAGGTGACATGCCAAGAGTCGAGGGTTTCATAGGTCCAAATAATATTAGATAAGTCTGTGACAGATATATGTATACATGAAAATGTAACTATAAGTAATTAAGTATAATATGAGAGTATCATAAAAGTGAGTTGTGAGGAATGATATGAGCGAAGTAAGCTAAATATATTGACCTATAGGATGAAATGAGAATAGTATATTAACTAGAAGGCTTGAACATAAGTGATAATATGAACGCATAAGAGAGCTAGATGAGAAAGATACATATGCTTAAATAAAATTATGACACATGGGTTGTATGATAGATATCTATGGAGCCATATTGAGATGATTATAGGAATATATGAACTTGAATTAAATAGATTAATTTGTATATAAAAGAGCAATAGAAGTGAATATATGTATATATAATATATATATATAAGTAAGAATAGGTTGCATGATCTAGATAAGTATAAGAGAATGAAGCACAGCTATATGAATGTTATAAGTTATACATATATAAATATATTATTAAACAATTGGACTAGTAATATGAAATGGCTTGGAAAGTTAATATAAGTTATGTGGAAATGATCTATGTGTTTATATGTGATATGCGATATTTATGTATCATGAGTTATATAAAAAGTGATGTGAATGATATGATAAGAAGATACGGGTTTATGTGATAAGAAGATATGGGTTTATGTGATGTATGAGAAACATATGTGAACAAATGATGGCAATGATATATATATATTTCATATGAACACAAGAGAAGTGTTTATAAGATAAGTGATATGGTTATGAAATCATATGAAAAGTGAAATGTACATGCGAATATGTGAAATGATATGAAAGGAATGCCCATGTAAGTGTCAGGAGAGCTAGAGGTATAGGTGACATGCCAAGAGTCGAGGGTTTCATAGGTCCTTCAGGACTACTCATAGGTCCTTCGGGACATACTCATAGGTCCTTCGGACATACTCACAGGTCATTCGGGATATATTCACATGCCACTCATTGGGACTTTACGAGATGTGGTGACAGCACATGTGCACAACCTCAATGTACTCGCATATCTTTGTTCTCACATATGTACATGGGCTAATCAGAGATAATAATAAATATATGTTTGTGATATTATACATGTTATAGAAAGGACATGATGATTTATGTGTAAGTATGTATATATTACTAGGTAATCTGATATGATTTATATAATGAGGTCTGTATTGCTTGGTTAATTGAATCATAGTTGATTAAAAGAATAAAATAATAGAGATGATTATAAGATAAATGATATGAATATTGATAGTGGAATAAGGTTAGAGATGGAAATAGTGTGTGATATATATGTTTATATTACGTTGTATATAATGTTATATTGTTTTGGTGTGGCATAATGAGATGATATGTTCATGCATGTGTAAATATTAGAGTTCTTTATAAGTTTATGCTCACTAAGTCATAGACTTAGCGCGTGATTGTTTTACACGTAGGTTACAGAAGCGAGAAGAGAAGCTAAGAGGAGCAAGACAAGTCAACATCTTCCTTACAAAGTTCAGATCAGAAAAGAAATGCTTGATATGTATTTTATTCTTTTAGATATAGTTGGTATGTAATATAAACGATTTGAATTGTGTACGCTCTGATAAGTTGTAGACTTTTATTTTTGAAATAATATGAAGTTTTCTTTAACGAAAAATTTCATTATTTTGAACAAGTAAAGGTTTTAAAAATTGATGTGACACCTCGGACTCGAATCCGGGTCGGATACGGGTTGGGGTGTATATTAAAAGTTATAATAAATCGTATTATCTTCAAACTTGTTAATGGTAAAAAAGAAAAAAATAGAATTAGAACCTAGACAAATTATAAAATAAAAGAGGACATACACAAGTAAACAAATCTAATATTTTATTTATATCTAAATGCATTATATATATATATATATATATATTAAATCGTAATTAATGGAAGATTTACGATAAAAAAAATTAAACTATGATTTATTGTAACTTTTTAAACCATTAGGGACCTTTGGTCGAGTGGTTGGGGCGCTTATCCTTTTCCCTGTATTCCCCTCATGTGCAGATATGTTCCTTTATTTTACTCCAATATGGTGGTTAAATTAAATTAAAATTAAAATTAAATTGATAGAATATATAAATATAAAGGATTAAATGTGTAATATACTAATTCTATTAACTGTCACATTAGTATTTATGTTAAATGTTAGTAGTTAGTGACTGATTGATAATAATTAATGATTAGGTGGTCTAATTGGCAATGATTGATAATAATTAAATAACTAGGTGGTCTAATTGACAAAAAAATCTTTGAAGTGAAAGAGGTAAAGAGTTAAGTATTGATTGGTATAGTTTACCCTATTTGTGGGAAAGCTGATACCGTGGGTTTATATTACGGCTCAATATGTACACAGTCTCGACCCGTGACACATGCTATGTTCCTTCGGATTAGTACTTGATTCACCTAATCGGCAATGGATTTTCAACCTCAAAACTACAGTTCGTGTTCAAAGACACAATTTGGTTAACAAAAACGTGTGAATCTACTTCTGCTGATGAACTAAAATGACCTTCGTCGAAATTTAGGTTGAATGGTGTGCACACATCAGGTTTTGTTGCGGCAATAATACTGCATTTTTTATCAGATATATGCATCTTTCCCCGAAGCTCGGTTATATATTGATTAATGCCAGTTACGTATACATAGTTTTGACTTATAAGAAGCATTTGAAAGCGACATCTGCTGAATTTTCCTGGATATCGACCATCTACATAGACCAAGCATTAATTTGTAAAAAGAAAAATATCATAATAATATTAAATTCCGAAAACAAACGTGTAGCACGTTTGGTCCAAAGAATGACAAGAGTATAAATTGCTCCAAGTTTGGAAATTTGAAGTTAGTAAAACAGAAAGCAAAGGAACTTGAGTGAGTGAAGAACAAAGGCAAGGAAACATGGTACGAACACCTTGTTGTGATACGAGCGGACTAAGGAAAGGAACCTGGACGCCCGAGGAAGATAGGAAACTGATTGCCTATGTCACCAGATATGGCTGCTGGAATTGGCGACAACTCCCCAAGTATGCAGGTAAACATAAAGATCACGAAAAGTACACATACACGATAACGAGAGGATTGTTGTGGAAATGTTTTATGTATGGATGGTCGTGTGTTTTCAGGTCTGCAAAGATGTGGGAAGAGTTGCCGGCTGCGATGGCTGAATTATTTAAGGCCCAACATCAAAGAGGGAATTACAGCGCGAAGAAGAAGAGACAATCCTCAGATTACATGAGAAACTAGGGAACAGGTACTGTTTAAATGCTTAAAACATTCACATGCTGTGAAAATAACAAAGGTTGTTTAATTACTAAAGTCAATTCACAAATATGCAGTTGGTCCGCCATTGCTGCACAGTTACCAGTCGAACAGACAACGAGGTGAAGAACCACTGGCATACGAATCTCAAGAAACGCTTCAAGGACAAGCCGATGGAAGCTAAAGATGACAGTAAAAAAGAATCAGTTGAAGTGCATAAGCGTGGGAGAAGTCAAGAGAAGAAACAAAGCTAAACTATCATAATCTTCCATTAATTCTTGAAAGCTCACATCGTCTTCTCCCCCGCGACCAGCTTCAAGCGACCAATCCTCCTCCATCAACAAATATAATACGGTTGAATCCAGCAAAGACTCAGTTACAGATGATGATAACAGCAGCAAGGCTTCGTTTGAAGCATGCGAGGTAGATAGTGGAAGTTTCTGGACAGAACCATTTTTCTGGGACAATTCTAATATAATTACCAGTAGTACTATGGATTCTTCTGGCTATGAATTTGCCGAGTTTCCGTTTCTTTATGGAGAAATGGATTTCTATGATCAGCTGGATGGCTTTTACTTCTAATAAAACCGATCAAACCAGCTTTCTGGGAAATTTTAGCTGAGTTATGATCTTCTTGATGGGGTTTCTGAGGGTTAGAATCTAATCTCAGCCGTTTAATTTGTCTGAAAGTGATGTAATCTGTACGAGGGAAGGGTTTCTTTTAGGGTTTGAATCTACCCTTCGTAATTGACCCATGAAAAACCTTAATTTTTTACAAGTTAAACATAAATAATGATCAGATCAACTATCAATGTAAATATTAGCCTGAAGAGTTGAAAGTCTTATGAGTATTAAATTTATATTTATATGAATTTTTATTTTGAATTTGTTATTATGATGATTGATGTGCCTATAGATATATTATTATCCGGTGAACTGAAAAAAAATTAGCATGAAGCGTTGAAAGTCTTAAGTATTACATTTAATAATTATTTGATTATTTTTATATAAAAATCTAAATATTTAATTCATTAAATTTAGTCACAACGGTTGTAATTACATCATCTAGATCAATATTCTAAAACAAGCATCTCTTTCTAATTCTAGACCATTCAGACAAGACAAACGAAACAACTGTCCTAAATATAAATATTAATGATAGCTTCATCTGGATGGGTTTCTTTTTTTTTTAGCTTAGAATCCAATCTCAGCCGTTTGTTTTCTCTGAAAGTGATGCAATATGCATGAGCTTTCAAATATAGTAGTAATATACAACGGATTAGAGAGAATTTATTACATGCATATATATATATATATAATTCTTTTAGTTTTACACAATTTTAAAATAGTTGGATGAGTGAAAATATATGATTGATATTAACAACAGGAAGTGAGAAGATATTCATTAAAAAATCAAAGTCATTTATTTTAACTCATCGAACTATCATAAATCTGTGTAAAACATTTTAGTTTTACGATGTACATCTCTCTCTATATATATATATATTTGCTACTTGAGTCACCTAATTTGGGTTTTGGCCCATTTAGTTGCAATGAGTGAAGTCTTGAACTTTTTAAGTATTGGGACTAGGCCCAACAACTAGGACGAGCCACTTGTTGTGAAGATAGAATAACATAATCCATAAACATGTGGCTTATGTGGCACCATAGCTTGCGAACGTGCCTTATCTTCAAGCTGTTGTGGTCGATAGAGCTTTGGTCATCTCCATAATATCTGATGGAAATAACAGAAGCCAACAGTTTCACAAGATCACCCTTTATCCTCAATCATGGCTTCTTCAACTCTCTCCCCTGCACAGGTACATCCCAACACTTAATGGCTACTTAATTTGTGCTTTGTGCAGTTCATTTTTAAACTCAAACTTGGTGCTTTGTGTTTAACAGCTATGCTCGAGCAGGAGTGGCATGTTCTGCCCATCACAAGCTTCCCTTGTGAAACCAACAAGGACCCAAATGGTTAGAAGGGACAAGGGAATGAATATTACTTGCCAGGCCACTAGCATCCCTGCTGATCGAGTGCCGGACATGGGCAAGAGGCAGCTCATGAATCTGCTTCTGTTGGGGGCTATTTCACTCCCCACTGGTTTCATGTTGGTTCCTTACGCAGCCTTCTTTGTCCCTCCTGGGTAAGTTTAGTTCTTCTCATCCTCTTTAAGTTAGTTGTTCTCATCCTCTTTCCTTGTTCACTTTAAGCATCTTATTCTCTCTACTCGATAACAGTGGAGGAGGCACCGGTGGTGGTACTGTTGCCAAGGATGCCATTGGAAATGATATCATTGCTGCTGAATGGCTCGAGAATCATGGCCCTGGGGACCGACCTTGAGTCAAGGATTGAAGGTAAATACAGAACGTTAATTACTGGTGAATTTAAAGAAAAAGTATGTGTGATTTGTGAATTTTTTAGGGAGACCCCACCTACCTAGTGGTGGAGAAGGACAGAACTCTTGCAAACTATGGTATAATGCTGTCTGCACTCACCTTGGATGTGTTGTTCCATTCAATCAAGCCGAGAACAAGTTCATATGCCCCTGCCACGGATCTCAGTACAACGATCAAGGACGAGTCGTGCGAGGACCAGCCCCGCTGGTGAGCCGAGCATACATGCTTATATCTCGGTTATTTCGCTTTAATTGTGATGAGTTTATAATAACCCGATTTTGTTATGGTTGTTGGAACAGTCATTGGCATTGGCTCATACCAATGTGGAAGACGGGGGAAAGGTAGTCTTTACTCCTTGGACCGAAACAGATTTCAGAACCGGTGATGCTCCGTGGTGGGCGTAAATATCTCCGCTATCTGATGGTGTTTCCGGTATTTGATACTTATATTCAGCTCGTATGTTTTCGCATCGTTGCTAAACATGATGTACCATAGAATTTATCCATTTGTATAATGCAGCTTGTAAGATGCCTCTTGATCAAATACAAGATTAGACATGGCATGACGATGATGTTCTTGTTATATTCAAAATTTGTTTTATTATATATTTATAGACTGGTTTACCTTAATAACATAAAGGTGTGTTTGTCGACAATAGCTAGTTTTTGACCTTTGCACAATCATTTATGGAGTTTTCGCCTCCCTAAATTCTTTCCCAATGTCCAAGCTATACAGTTGAACGTGCTTGGGGTTCATTTTAAAGCTTAGATGGTTGAGAAAGGAAGTGTTAGACGAGCATTACAGAGAAGAGAGCAAAAATTTAGGGCTCAACGGCTCAATAAAGGAGACTAGAACACCAAGTTGTTCATGGTATGGCCAATGCAAAATATATATACGTTGATAGGAGAAATCGACTTGTGTTTTTTTACGGTTCACTCCTGATTTGGATAGAGAATCAGTGTAGAAGGGGGAAAAAAGGAAGGAATCGACTGGCTGAAGATGATGAGCCAGAGAGTGAGAGGAAGAGAGAGGGTCCTTTCTACTTTCTTGAATGGTGGTTTATACAGAAACTTTTATTGTTGGTCTCAAACTTAGAGTGATGATAGTTATTTGTTGATTGACAAGATAAATAGACATGACAATTAAAATAACTAATAGATCACTTGAGTCTGTTAGTGGTTATGTCAAAAGTAAGTAGCTGATCAAAAATAACTAAGGAATTTTCGAGGTTTTGAAAAATTCGGAAGACTTTGATTTGCAAAGGGAAATGAATAGAACTGTGATTTCTGAAGAAAATTGAAAGAGGTATATATAGAATGGTTGGCGAGGACGTAAGAGGTTGAGCTACACTTTTTTTATATATTGAGGATAGCTTGGAATGCATATGACTATATGATACGGAAAGAAGCGAAATATAAGTAATATGAATGAAAATTTTCTCTCATTAGTAAATAGTTTATTTTTTCTTTTTTGTCTTTGTTGATCGGCGGTGACACTAATTTTAATATTAATTGTCGATCATTGGTATTTTTTATTATTATTTTATTTTCTCTCGTTTTTATTTTCAGTAAGTCAGCTTGTATGACACGTTTTTCTTTTTTTATGGCACGTGTTTTCTGTTTGTGGCACGTTTTTCGGACGTTTGGTCGTTGTTTTTATTTATTCTTTTTTAAGGGTTGATTAGACATTGATCTCTGCTTTGGACCCTCGGATTGGATTTGGATACCCGTTATGCGTTCGTGGATAGCTTTTCACATCGCTCGAGTCTTATTTGCGGTTTTTCGGTGGTCTTTCAGTAGCTTGATTTCCTTTGTGGTTTGTTTGTCGATGTGATCAGATATGTTTGTATTTATCTTTGTATGGGTTTTTTTTTTTGGTTAGATTTGAATCTTTCCTTGTGTGGTACTTGTGTGATCTTAAGTTTCTAGTTTTGTTTCAATGATTATAGGAAATTGTTCTAATTATATGCTTAATTTACGATTATGATTGTAAATTTTTAATTTACGATTATGATTGTAAAATTTTATTGTAATTTATGATATTTTCTATTTTGAATAAAATTAGTGATTTCTTTCAACAACAAAAAAAGTAACATGAATGAAAAAAACTTGATATGTAATCCATTGAACCGTTCAAGTCTGTTTATTTTGGAGAAATATAATCTTTTTACTATTTCTATAATCTTTTGGGTTAGTTGTAAAGATAATTTATAAGAACAATGGAAGAATTTTTTGGATATATCAAATCTTTTAATACAAAAAAATTTATTGTATTGGTGCTCTGTATAATTTGTATGTTTTAATAGATCGTTATATCTCTCTTTATTGAGATAGATGAGACTGAAGTACAAAAATCATATTCTTCTTCTTTTTCAACAATATAATATTGTTAATAAAGAAAATGAACATTCAAAGTCATCACATGTCTCATTAAAAAATCCTTTTATGTATAGGGAAAAAAGCACGTAATGGCACTAATCTTATTCTCCGAAAGCTTGTCAAGTCCATTTCGATTATGATTAACACAACAACATAGAAATAAAAATCCACACATGAACTCTTTCTTACTTCCAAATATGGGACGCTTAATACCCAACCCACTACTACTACTCTTTTTTCACCATCAATGTCGAAGCCATAAGCATCAACCATTCTTAGGTTCATAAAAGACTATCAATCAATTGCTCCATCACCGAATAGCTTCAAACAAAACCATGCAACATCACCAAAATATGAAGAACTCATATTTAAAAAGCCTTCACATCTTGCGTAAAGGACAAGAGGCACAAGGTAGTGGTACTAAATGCATGGAGAGAGGCTC